AATGAGTTACAGTCTGTCAGTAGCTGTAGCTCATTAAAGGTAGTTGGCATTAATTGTGCTGCTTTTTTTATACGGCCTCCGTCGCCTCGTGATATTTCGTACTGGTCGCGTTTGCCGATGTTTTCCTCGTCAGCACTGTCTGCTCACTGTTAACGTATCAGCTCAGACTGCATTGTTGTGCTTGCGAAATTATTGCGGCCTGGAATTTCATCCATTTTAGTCCTTTCTTTCTCCCTTGTGCTGGCTACTTTCTGGTTTGCTCTTTGGCTGCAATACTAGTTAGCATCTAGAGAAAATATCGTACATAAAGTCTTCGCCGTTGGTCAATCCCTTTTCCAATTCGGGACAACTGTCATCTTGTCGTGTGTTAGGCAAAAACATGATTACAACTGTCCCAAAACGAAAGTATCCCTCCCCGCATTCTCCTTTCATTCAGAATCGCCTTCGTGCATGTGGTTTATTGAATGCGATGTGGCCTGTACAACTTGCGGGGGCGGGCCGATGGTACAAGTGAGTGTTCTTATCCTCCCAGCCAATCTCGTTCTCCTTTCTGGACTAGAGGGAATGATTGGCCTTAACGGTAGCCGAACCAGGATTCGACATCCGGACGACGCACGTGGTAAACATGCCACTTGCCACTGCACCACTTCCCTCCCATAAAGCGAAGAATGGAAATCATTCTCGGTTTCTTTTACCATTTGCAGCGATTCTTCTAACTGTAATATCTACAAAGCGCTTACCCGAATCTGTATTTATTCAATCCACGGTCACTTCACGCAATAAAATAAATCGACAGTTTGTTGTGTGTTATCCAGTACGTGGCGCATATTATGACCTTTTACAATTTTCATTCATGTGGTATTCCAAAAATCGTTTCCTTGATGTGAGCAAGGGCGCAGTTCGGCGAGGGGGGGGGCATTTTGCACTTTTGCCACTTCCCATCGACGTGTCGAGCCATCGAGAGAGCCTTACGAGAGTTGACAGGTTTTATCATGGTGGCTGGACGAGCTTGCTCCAGCTTCACAAGAGTTCACAGGTTTCACCAGAGTGAGACTTGTAAACCGGAACTAGTGAAGCTGCGAGAGTACAATGTGCCCCCTCCTCCCGTCCCCGAACAGAGCCGTGAGCAAGTAAGCAGCAGGCGTCTTAAAGGGTGATACTGAAGGAGAAATTGTTAGGTCAAGTAAAGTTTTTTTTCCACAAATGAGCTAAGGAGTGAGTTTGTATTTTTTGCCAGCTTACTTTTAAAAAATTTTACACACAAAACCTATTTTTCACTAGCAGCGTTTCGAGCGCAGATTGCTTCGTTTTTTTCAGCAAAGTCTTACTTAATGTGTACATAAAAGCCGAAGCGTTTCGATATCAGTTCGAGACGAGGGCCACCCCTTCGGCCACACATCCAAATTTTACTGGAAATATTTGCTGCATAGTAGAACTCACTGGCACCAAGCGAAAGAATCACAGGGTTGGCCTCACTTTTTGCGCTCGGGAGTAGCCAGTCTCACATTTTGCGTCAGCACTTTAGTAGCCAATAATTTTTACAGCCCTGTTATGGGTGAATCACTCATCATTCGTGAAAAATTCGAAAGTCCGAAGAGGCCTAC